GTGGTAATTCCAAGGGGGAGTGTTATAACCAAGTGGAATTTTCCACTATTATCTTAGGACTAGAAATGTGTGAATGATAACATTGAGATGTGTGCAAAGTTTGCCTATAAAAGGCAAGTGAGTTAGTGTAATAGTTGTACGAAAGTGAAGGAAAAAGAAGTGAAAGAAAGAAAGAAATCTGTTACAGTTTATATCCGGTGTTTACATTGTGTTCTTTATATTCCCCGTATTTCATAACAATATGTTTAATTATTATTAGACTGTCATGTTATAATGTGTGGGGGGTTTTAGCTTTAAGTGGAAAAGTTCGGCCATTGGCATTACTAAAGAGACTGTTTTTTCGGGATGAAATGTAGCCATATAAATTCTGGCCAATGATTATAAAGATATTAGAAAGGATTTTTTTATAACAATCACTTATTGCAAGATTTCAAAATGTGGCTCATGATAAATGTCAAGTGCATGAACTATATATAATTGTTTGGTATAAATTCTCACTGCAGATAATTTCAAAATGTGTTGAGACTAAGTGCAAATTTGCATACTTTAAGACAAATTTTCATGTTTTGTATTAAACTTCGATTACTTTCTAATCCAACTAAAACTCGAAAAACCGTAAATATACTAGATACTTATCATCATTTTTTATATCATTTTCTATTTTAAAAGTTGTTTATAAGGTATGAATTTTTTTCCAATCTTTTTCTTTCCCTCATTTTAATATCATTGGGTGTAGATGTTTGTTCCTAGTTTAGGTCGTTCTATTTCTCTGTATTGTGGCAACTTTTGTTTGTTGTGTCAAGGTCTGTGTTGTAGGCCAACTCGGTTGGTCCTCCCGATCACATCCGGTGTGTATCGTTATGTTAACCTTTGGTTGATCTTAACGAGATTCCTTTCGTTTGAAAAAAAAAAAAATGTTGACATTTCTTGAGGATTCAAATTATTTTCTTAATCAGAATCACTATCACCTAATCTCTGGAATTCCCTCCTCCATATTCCCATCTGTACAAATTCGCATCATCTCCCTTAAACTTATTTGATAATGTGGTAAAAAATGTTTATGCTTGAAATTAAAAGGGCAAAGTTGCAATCAACTTTTTGCAAAAAAGGTCCTTTTATGTATACGTATTTGCACAATCGTCAAGTAACATAAAAATTTATCGCGAATTTGTACCGGAAAAAAAAAAATTTAGTAAGTGGGTGATCCCTCAAGTTGAAATTACAATTAGTGAAATAGATGAGAGGTTTACTCCAATTAGCAAACCTTAAAGTTAGCCATTCATATTTTTCAATAAATGTATATACTTTCAAATTAAAATGTCATATTCTAAATAAAAACAACATAAACAAACATGTAAAGATAATTTGTGTAAAAGCAAATCACCAAATCACCAAGCAAAACAAACCTATGTATCAAGACATGTCGAACTTTATACCTTGGCTAGGAAAACAGTATGTTAAGAAGCTACATTTAAATTAAACTTGTCGAGATCCCAACATTTACTCAAAAATTTAAACCAAAGGATCAAAATAACAGAAGAAAAAACAACAGGCAATGTATCAAAGATTTCATAGAATTCCTCTAAATTCTAAAAATCTTTAAAAGTCTCAAATTTTAAAAAGTCTTAAGATGTCATTCGAAATCCCAAACAAATACACCCCTCTAAATTTTACGAAATAAGCAACATTAAGCACCACATTCACTCGAACTCAAGCACATATAAGCAGGAAATCTTGAAATTCCATGTCTACATAACAAACAACATAAATCAATCCAAAACGGTAATCGTTCTAACAAAAGATCAGACAAACCAAAAGGGGCAACAAGAATCTGTTAAATTTAGTCCTCTTCCTCTCCTTCTTGCTCGGCAATGTTGAAGTACCGCAGCTCATATACGTTCCTCTCTTTGTTGGAAGCAATCACTCGAAGCCAATCTCTCACGTTGTGCTTCTTCAAGTATTTCTTTGTCAAATACTTGAGATACCTAAAAATGAATGAAAAGGTAACTAAAAACTTTATTACTTAGTATACATATCTTTCACTCTACTTCACAATTTCCCAGTGAAGCATTACATCTTTTCTTGCTTCAAGATAGGCTACAGAAAGTTTCATCAGCACTACAAATACTGTACCTTTATCCTGTAATCTCTCGTCAAATCAAACTAAACTTAATTTCAGATGCAACCTCCAAATAATGGTTCATGATTTAAAGTAGGCAGACACTAAATCCATCTTCATATAATTCTTACATTTTTCTAATACTCAGCTTCGAACAAATTCAGAATAATTGGGACTAAGTTACTAGAATGTATTATACAAGCAAACCCCAAATTGAATATACCTCTTGGAGAAGGCAGCATCGCCGGTGACGGAGATCTTGTTCTTCTCTCGGGTGACGGTGACGGAATCGCCGAGGGCGCCGGGCTTGCCGGCGACCTTGATCCTCTCCTGCAAAAACTTCTCGAGCGAGGCGATCTCCATGATCTTGTCCTCCACCGGCTTCGAGCAATCGATTACGAAGGTCACTCCCTTCTTCTTCCCGCCTTTGGCTCCCCCAGCCGCCGCGCCTTTGCTCATCTTCGATCTCTGTTTCTCTCTCTCTTTTCGTTAATGCCTGCAAAGCAACGGTACGAATCAGATTGAGAGCTTCAAACAGATCGAGATTCAGAAGACAAATGAAGGGCGGTACGTACAAGTTGGATCGACGGCCGCCGTGCGTGGAGTTCGTGCACAGAGAGTGATAAGGTGCGTGAAGAACCACAAATGGTTTATTAGGGTTGATCTGTGGGCATTTTTTAGGGTTTAGGCTTATGTTTGTTGGGTTGAGGAAAGAGTATGTATGGGCCGTCACGAATTCATAGTTGGGCCTAATGTGAATTGTGTGATAGGTCGAATGATCTTGAAGTCCAACATTTACTTGAATAAAACATATATTCTTTTATTTTATATATTTTTTTTATTATTTTATTCCTAATTTAGGTGGCTCAATGAATCTATTTGGTTATCATTTGGATCCCTTTTCATCACAAGTACATCACATATATTGCTTTTGTAAAATATATTGAATAACTTAATAATCTTTACCATTGTAATCTATTTTTATGTGGGGACGCTCTGGTAATTGAAGATAATGGATGATCGAGGTTAGCAAAAGCACTTTCTCATCTATTTTAGATTTACTCTTTGTGAGGTGTAATAGTGTTGTTAGAGACATTCATTGTCTAATGCTTATGACATTAATGACAACTTTTTATTAGTTTCGAGGGAATTTGGGCGCAACCCGTAAGGGTGGCATTGACTAAATCGTTAGAGCATCTACAAGCATTATGTCTATGTAACAACAAATTTTATGAAAAAACATAAAACTTTTTGTACAACTTGATTTATATTTCGATCAAACGATATGCGGGTACAATCTCTATTATTCCTCTGATTCTTCTCTTCATGAATTTGAGTTTGAGATCTTGAAAGATGGATTTTACGGTTGAATCTCCTTCGGGCTGGTCTTGAATTTCTCTAACATTAATTTGGGGGTCGAATGACTTATTCCCGTATTAAATGTTAGGCTTTGACTTGATTGAAGAAGCCTTCTTGGAAGACTTGATTGTTTGATCTTCTTGAAAGAGTGACTCTAACTTGAATAACGTTGATTCGGGGGCTTGATAGCTTTTTTCCGGATCAAACGTTATGTTGTTGAACTTCTCAACGAACGCGGCTTGAATGTCGCTTGAACGTCGTTGATATTCTTGCATTGACTTGAGAAGCGTGAAAGTCGTCTCTTTACTTCTTGAGGAAGACCCGTCGCCTCTTTTTCTTCTTCTTGGCTTTCTTCTTCATTGAATAGACTTCGGGCGGTTCTTCAAGAACTTCTTCAAATCTTCGAGAGGATTCTTGAGAGCGCTTGAATTTGAGACTTTGATTTTTGAGATGTGTTTTTAGGTGTTTGAGGTGTTGAGGAGAGCCCTATTTATAGGTGTAGGAGAGAGAGTCTTGGAAAAGAAGACTTCAATTTGATTGGTCCTTCATGATTTGACATAATCTATTTCCTTATCCTAAGATTTGATATAATCTCTTTCCTTGTCCTAAAATTTGACTTGGTGGGCAAGAAACAATTACTTTATTAATTAAATATCTTATTTATCTTGGATTTATGTCCCAAAATAAATAAAGACATTAATTAATAAAATATTAAAATTTCGATGTCTACAATCTAGTATATAAATAAACCCGAGTCTTAGATAAAATATATATAAAATTAACAAAATTCATATCAATGCAAGGAGACTAGGGCTATATTTGGTAGAACTGGCTGATAGCTGATAAGCTAGCTTATAGCTTATTAGTAATTTTTAAGCTTATAGCTTATAGCTTATGACTTATAGCTGAAAAGCTAGCTTATATGATAAAATTGTTTGGTAAAATTAGCTGATAAGCTAGCTGAAATAAAAATTTCAACGAGCTTAATTGAAAAGCTACCAAAAGAAACTTATTAAATAAGCTCGTCCTACCAAACGGAGTTTATTTAAATACAGGTAGCTTATAAGCTAATCAAATAAGCTATAAGCTAGCTATTGGTCTACCAAACATAGCTTAGGTCTTTACTTGGGTCTAAAATAGACTTATGACTAAACCGAGTCTTTTCTTTTTTGCTGCCACATCAGCAGGACTCAGTCCATTTGCACATTTTACATTTGACTAAACTGATTATATTTCTTATGTGGCATGCAAACTTTTTTTTATTGAAACCAAAGCACTGTGGATGCTAGCAATAGATTTTGAGGTTTGCATCTTCAAACATAGTTTGAGTTTTCAAACATCTTTTTTCCCATTTTTTTTTTAAATCCCACTTTATATAATTTCAAAACGTGCTGAGCCTAAATGACTTGCTCGCACGCTTAGAAATCGTACTTGACAACATTACATGCTTCGTATTTTATATCGATAAAAAATTAATTTAATTACATTCCATAATAAACAGGTTAGGACTTACTATAATTACATTCACTAATTGTTTAGAGCATCTCCAATGCTCAATGTTGTAGTGGTAAATTGCATTTCACATCAATACATTTATTAATATCACAATTTTTCATCCTCCAATATACAATATGATCACAACTGTTGTGATGATTTGGACATAATTAATGTGTACAACAATGTAGAGAAGATGGGGTTCATCCACATTCTACTTCACACTCTAGGTAGCCAATGAGAAAAAGAAAGAGGATTATTATTATCATCTTCATATTATTTAATTGATTCATATTAAAGTTTATTATTTGGCAAGTAGATACTATTATAATTAGGCAACATTGTGCATTAGAGATGATTTTTTAATTTAATAGTTGTGAACTAAACATTTGTCCTACATTGTTCACAATCTATTTAATTTTTTGACATTTGTCAAAAAAATTTCTATAACAACATTAGAGCATTGGAGATGCTAACTAAAATATTTAATACCATAGTTAATATATTTAATCTAAAGCATTCCATATCACACCTCAGAGTAATGCTCCCCTACCCACGATGGGCATATTAAAATATGCCCACCGCTTATGTGGCATGCACACATTGGTGATGTATTTTTTTGAACATATTAAATGTGTGTATGCCACATAAGCGGTGGACATATTAACATGTGCCCACCGTGGGTAGGTGAGCATTATTGTCACACCTCATATATTTAATTCTAAGTATTCCATAACATTCCATAATTCTCCACATACATTTAGTGCATATCAGCAGATATGTCGATGATATGAGACTAATTTCACATCTATCATTATATAAAAAGAATAACATTTTTACAAATTTAGAAACTTTTTCCCGCCAAAATCATTAAATATATCCTACATATAGTAATTGTTGGACAAATCTAAATAGGCAAAAAAATTGGTTCATTAATTGTGTAAAGATTTGTTTCTCTTTTTCCTGTTTTTTAGTTTATCAAAACCGTTGTTTGACAATAAAATATTTTTCTTTTTCCTATTTTTTAGGTTATCAAAACTTGTTTGGCAATTCTGAGAAGGCAGAAAAATCGAAACATTTAAATTTGAACAAAAAACTCGCTAAGTTTAAAAAACAATTGATAGCTTATAAAATCTCATAGATAAATCTACACGAGTTTATCTCTTATTTGTTACAAAATCTCACGTGTTTAAAAAAATCTCATCTCTTATCTATACAGATTTAAAAAATAGAAACTAATTCATAATTACTACTAGAAATCCATTATCTTTAAAAAAAAATAGAAACCAATTTATAATTACTACTAGAAATTCATTATCTACTATCAAAAGTTAATTTTCATCGATCTAATTACTAATATTTTTACAAATATTATAAGCTAACAATACATCCTCATAACAATGTAAAAAGTATAATAATAATTTTGAAATGGTGTGTAATCAAATTTTTTCATTATCTACTATCAAAAGTTAATTTTCATCGATCTAATTACTAATATTTTTACAAATATTATAAGCTAACCATACATCCTCATAACAATGTAAAAAGTATAATAATAATTTTAAAATGGTGTGTAATCAAATTTTTTAGATGGAAGTAACACCATAAATTCGATATCATCTGACCTAATGTGTTTATTAAATTAGGCTTATTTTATATACTTTAAACAAATTGTTTAGACTTTTTTTTACATATTCATCTATATATATATATATATTTACATATACACATATACATAATTAATTTTAAATTTAAATATTTGTAGCCATATTTTCTTTACAAAATAGTCTATAATTTTTTTTTACACAATGTTAAATTCAAATATTTTTAGATATGTTTTCCTTCTAAAATTTTTTATAAAAGTTGTAGGTGACTGCATATCTTTCAAAAATAATATAGAAAATTTTGAATACTTTTACATATACTGATATAATATTTTAGGTGCTTTTAATATTAAACACACAAATTTTATATTCTCTTATATAAAATAATGTAAATTTTATATTTCTCTTGTACAAAATAATTTTACATTGTTTGACCTCGTATCTTTAATTTATAATTATTAAGTATTGTTTACCCTCTTCTTTAATTTATAATTATTTTTTTCTCCCTCTTATTAAATAGGATCAATATTAGTTTCCATTTCCGCCATTGAGTGACTCAAACTCGAGGTCTATTTATAATATTGTTAATTCAATATTGTACCCAAGCATCGCACGGGATACACACTAGTGCAAGTCAAAATTATTTGCATATTTCGTACTTTTATAGTTTTATACTCATTTTGTTTGACTTTTAATAAATATGGATGTATAAATACAAACAAAGATCATTTACCTATTTCATACTTCTCTTATTTAATTTATATATTTATATTTTACTTTTTTTATATATGATATATCAAAATAATCATATTTTAACAATATTCAATATGACATCTATATTTCATATATAAAATAAAATAAAAATCATATGTGTTTATGAATAAAACAAATTTTATTATCAAATCAATTTTAAAAAAAAATCAAATAATAATATAAATTATTTCAATAAAAATAATAAAAATCTAATTCATTAATACACCATAATATAATTATTTTAACGTATTTTCTCCATGTATTTCGAATAAAATATAGAAATATTATAAAGTATTCTTTCCGCAGTTTAAAGATTATTTTGTTGTTTAAAATAATAAATATTAAGAAATATCCTATTTATATATAATAAAATAATTTTATATTTTATAAAGTTAGAAAATAATACATTTCTTCGTAAACTGATATTCTAAATTAGTAAACTATATAAATTTAAAATACTTAAAAATCAATAAATGAGAGACATTGACTCTATAAAAATAAAATAATTAAAATACAATAAAACTTCAGTTGTTTTAAGAAAATTCGAATAAAAATATATAGAGTTGTAAACAATCTCAATTATATATATATATATATATATTTTAAAAAAAAAATATATATATATATATATATATATATTTAAAAAATATTACTAGATTTTTTTTTTCTTTACAAATTTAGTGTAAAAATGTGGGCTCCACTTGAATTAGTTATCATTTAGTTAGTTATTATTGTTGTATTACAAAAAATATTAATAAATTTAAGTACTCGTGTATTACACGAGTACCATACTAGTGTTATTTTATTTCCTTTTACTGATTATTATATGTGGTGTTTTTTCTTTATTTTTTTTAAAGTGAAAATTATATTTTGGATTAATAGCCAATTCAATCAACTTTATTCAAAACAACTCATTTTAATCAACCAAATCAAACCAAAACACGTTCGAATCATAATCACGGCCTTACTAGCTCACAATCACATCACAAAGCATCTAATCACAAAACCCACAAATATTATACAAGAACAATTCAGCGTTCGACATAGGGATGGCAATGGGCCCCCGAAACCCGAAACCCGATGGGTAAAAACTCCATTAGGAGCCGGGTATGGCTATAATTTGGCCCCATGGATCTGTTAATGGGGGAAAAAGACCCCCCATCGGGTCTAGCGGGGATGGGTCCGTTCCCACTCCCCCCATACCCGTTAACCCATGGGTATAATGTACCCGATATAATTTGGCCCAATATATGTTTTGGCCCAGTCGAAAAGACTCAGCAGGCAGCAGCACTACTAATCCCTAGATATATAACTAATAAGAGGCAATCTCAAGAAAACTTAATTAAGTATACAATATAATAACTACTTGTGTATTATTTTGTTTATCCCTAGTTATTAAATATACAAGAAAACTTAATTCATACGTGTGTATGAATTTTTTTCAATATTTAAAACACTTTCCTTATTTTGTTTATCCCTAGTTATTGCACTACTTGTGTATGAATTATATTTTCACTACTTAAGTTATTATGTACACTACTAATCCCTAGATATATTTTTTCAATATAATTTGGCCCAATATATGTTTTTTGCTTCTTATGAATTAATTTAGATCGTTCGAGTTAGTTATTATATTCATCGGGTCTATGTCACCCGATGGGTACCCGTCACCCACACGGGTGCCGGGTCTGGGGGAAATCTGGACCGCGACGGGTGATGGGGGCGGGTGACAGGGGTATTTTCCCTAATGGGGACGGGTGACGGGGGGGTCCCCCCAGCGGGTTTGTCACCCATTGCCATCCCTAGTTCGACACAATGAGTATGTTAATAATTCCATTATTAAAATGAAAAACACACAAATCATAACATGTTATAAAATGCGAGCAATATAAAGAACACAATGTATAAGAACCGGATATAAATCACAACAAGCTTATCTTTCTTTTCTTCTCACTTTTCGGTACAAACATCACAATGCATTTTGGCCCCTTTTTATAGGCAAAGGGGCACACATTTCAACACTAAATATAATAAAATAATAAAAGTGATAAACCTATTAAGGTTAATTCCACATATATTTACAATACTCCCCCTTGGAATTACCACTATTAAATGTGCGTTTATGCTGCCTCGTTAAAAACCTTATCTGGAAAAACCCTGTGGGAAAAAACCGAGATAAGGAAAAAAGAGTACAGCCGCACATACTCCCCCTCGAATTATCATCCGTGCAAATCCCGAAGATGCCTCATCCCAATATTGTGCACGTGCTTTCGAAATATTGTCGTCGGAAGTGCCTTCGTAAACAAATCTGCTGCATTATCGCTTGATCGAATGTATTGAACTTTGATTTGTTTGTTTCTTTCAAGCTCTTGCGCATATAAGAATAACTTTGGCGGGATATGTTTAGTTCTGTCACTCTTGATGTATCCTTCTTTTGTTTGAGCGACACATGCTGCATTGTCTTCGTATATCACCATTGGGTCATTATTGTTCGATAATCCACTGGCTTGTTGAATATGTTGAGTCATGTTTCTGAGCCAGATGCTTTCCCTAGTTGCTTCATGAAGTGCAATGATCTCAGCATGGTTTGAAGACGTCGCAACTAACGT